ACACACTCATGAACACACACACATGAACAGACACACACACACATACACTCATGAACACACACACACACTCATCCGCCTGCTAAGGTCTGAAGTCCTGAGAGACTTACTCTACCTTCATAGTCCGATACCTCTCATCATTCAGTATCTCCTCAACTCTGGAAGACGATCCGCATTCAGAGATCTCCTGTGAAGATAGAGACGTCAGATACGTCTGATTCGCACAAACCGCTCAATCCAGCTCAACGTATTCATGAGCTGTTATGATTAAACACGCTAACTGTGAATAATCTGTGCACACACACACACACACACACACACAGCATCCTTGTTAATTGCAGCATAATAAGTCTAATGAAGCGCTGGTTGCGTTGTCTCCCATTGCTCTGGTGCTGTTGTGAAGATGCATTATTTGCAGGAAGCAGAATCAGTGTATTAATCACATTTATCATCACTGTAAACGTGGACGTAATGATTGACTTTCCCATCAAACACACTTCCCATTAAACAGAGAGTCTATATGAAATTTCAGAGAATCATCGCCCTCACATCAATCCACTTTCACACTCCAACATCTGTGTTTCACAGAAGAAAGTCGACGACATGAGAGAGAGTAACAGAATGATCACTTGAGGGTGAACTAGTCATTTAATCGTCTGTATTTGTTTAAGCAGTTGGTGGAAAGCTGCACGCACTTCATTATACCAAAGATGTTTTACAACTGAACATGCTGTCAGTAAACCTACAACTTAGCAAAACAGTGTTTTTGTCACACGTCACTCAATTATTAAAAGCTAATTGTGTTTAATTTTTAAAACGCCCCCATATTACGAGTTCTTCCTTGTATTCTCCAGACTTCAGCTGTGGAACAAACAGAAACACACTCACAGACACACGTCTCTGCTGAAATACTGCAGGATCTTCAACTAAATGTGGGTAAATCTCATAAAAATAAGACTAATTTAATTCCAAAATCAAAAAATGGCTCTTAATGGTCCTAAAATACGTTTAGAAATATATATATATGAAATATTTGTACAATTTAAAATAAGTGTTTTCTATGTGAATATATTGTAAAATGTAATTTAGCTGAATTTTCAGCATTATTGCTCCAGTCTTCAGTGTTATATACTGAGTATCAATGTTGGAAACGATTGTGCTGCTTAACTTTTTTTTTTTTTTTTTTTTTGGT